CCAAGGAATTTTGGATCTCGCCTTGAGCCTTTCACCTTTTGTTAAATTGTATATTCTTAGGAAATAAACTATTTGAAGCTCTTCTTCATCATTTCATTCTGAATAAATTTTTCAGACAACAGGTTTAGAGGACCTGCCTGAGAGATCACAGCTAGAAGGAAATAAGGAAAAAGTGAGAGGGGTGTGCAGGCCAGAGTTAGTGAGAAAGGGCGTTAGCTTGCACTCTGGTCTTAATAGAAGAGGTGATCTGGTGGTCACTTCAGGTATGTCTGCTAACTTGGATTACACATACATAAGTGGTTCATCGTTATAGCGCTGTTACAAGGAGAAGAGGCAGAGAGAAGGCACGGAGGTCTAGCTTTGTTCAGTTTTATAGTGCGCAAAGAAAAACGCTGAGGCAATGAGCTGGGGAAGTTATCTGGGCAACTCAGACTAATGGGCTTTCTGCTTGCTTGTGTTCTATGGATAGCATCATAATGGTCTGCTTTATTTTTCAAGTGGGGATACTATCTTTGGAGCAGTGTCAAGAAAAAATATGGAATCAAATAGGATTTCTGTGGCTAGTGTCTATGTAGGTTAATACAGAGACACATTATTTTATGCAGTATCGGGGAGGGAGAGAAAAGTTAAAGTAAAAAACAAACGAACAAAAAAAACTTGCTGGTCATTAATCTCGTTTAAAGTCTTTGTCTTGAACATAGGTTCTGTGGGCTTAATCCCAGCTCTGCTTCTTAATTGGTGGTTGTAATTAGAAAGGAACTAGTCTCTGTAACTGTGGTATTCTGATTTAAAAGTTGGGGATAGACAGACGCCTGATTCATTTTATATTTATGCAATGTGTGAGAATTTTCAGAGAAAGACTTTCTTCTTATTTGTAAATACTCTTTAAAATTATTTTTAAAGTCATTTACTCCTCACCAGCCAGCCTGGCATCTCTGACACACGAGGAGCTGTGTCAGAACGTTGCCGTTCCTTCTGTGGAGTACTTCCTCCAACCACCACCAGACTTTTTCCCTCACTTCCTTCAAGATGTTGCTCAGGTATCACCTGCTCGGTGAGGTCTTCTATGGTCATTCTATTTAAAATGGCACCTCCATATCTATACCTCTTAGCCCCCTTCCCTTTTCTATTTTTTTATTTTTATCTCTAGCACTTAACACCTCCTAACAAATTATGTACTTTTTGTATTGGTTATTTGCTCTCCCTCCACTAGGATGAAGGCTTCGTGTTGGCAGAGATTTTTAGCTGCTTTTTTACTGATAATAACCAGCATCTAACACACTGACTTAAACATAATAGGAATCTATACAAATATGTTGAGTGAATGCTATTAATACAAGACATTTTTAACAACAGATAAATATAACTGCATATGACTTAGATTTATTTTAGTGAAGTACAAATAGCAGGGACTCACTAGAAACAATAACCAAGGATACTTGTCTAAATTTGTAAAATATTATAATTCCATATTTAGACAATTATTTTAAATTTAAGCAGGCTGCATTAATTTCAAATTGAACAATTTACCATAGATTTGGCATTAGTTCCTTAAATCTCTCAAAATTTCATTTTTTNAACATAGGTTCTGTAGGCTTAATCCCAGCTCTGCTTCTTAATTGGTGGTTGTAATTAGAAAGTAACTAGTCTCTGTAACTGTGGTATTCTGATTTAAAAGTTGGGGATAGACAGACGCCTGATTCATTTTATATTTATGCAATGTGTGAGAATTTTCAGAGAAAGACTTTCTTCTTATTTGTAAATACTCTTTAAAATTATTTTTAAAGTCATTTACTCCTCACCAGCCAGCCTGGCATCTCTGACACACGAGGAGCTGTGTCAGAACGTTGCCGTTCCTTCTGTGGAGTACTTCCTCCAACCACCACCAGACTTTTTCCCTCACTTCCTTCAAGATGTTGCTCAGGTATCACCTGCTCGGTGAGGTCTTCTATGGTCATTCTATTTAAAATGGCACCTCCATATCTATACCTCTTAGCCCCCTTCCCTTTTCTATTTTTTTATTTTTATCTCTAGCACTTAACACCTCCTAACAAATTATGTACTTTTCGTATTGGTTATTTGCTCTCCCTCCACTAGGATGAAGGCTTCGTGTTGGCAGAGATTTTTAGCTGCTTTTTTACTGATAATAACCAGCATCTAACACACTGACTTAAACATAATAGGAATCTATACAAATATGTTGAGTGAATGCTATTAATACAAGACATTTTTAACAACAGATAAATATAACTGCATATGACTTAGATTTATTTTAGTGAAGTACAAATAGCAGGGACTCACTAGAAACAATAACCAAGGATACTTGTCTAAATTTGTAAAATATTATAATTCCATATTTAGACAATTATTTTAAATTTAAGCAGGCTGCATTAATTTCAAATTGAACAATTTACCATAGATTTGGCATTAGTTCCTTAAATCTCTCAAAATTTCATTTTTTCAAGGTATATTTTTACTTAGAGGATATTGCTTTCAAAATATTTTCCCATTAACAAAAGAGAAATTTTTCCTCATGTTTTAAAAGGGTACAAAAGAAATTATAGTGCAATTTACTCAGTTTCAGTCATTAACTGAAAACATTTAAAACAGGAAAGAAGAAGACAAAAACTAGGAATTTCTTTAAATCCTTTAAGTGTGACAAAAATAGAGTTAGAAACTTTTTCTCGGGTGAGCATAAATTAGAAAAACTAAGGCATCAATGGGTGTTCCACTTCTGATTTCACCCCCACTTTCCTCCCCACACGGTGGCTCTATTGGGGGAAAATTATTTTATATAAATACTATTTACTTACAATAAACATTTTTAAAAACTCATAAAATTAAATCATTTTTTAAATTTTAAATTAAGTCATTTAAATAATCTTTTCAATCACAACAAAGAAAAAAAGGTCCACGTTCTGAAGCGGTCAGCTACATGGCCATTGAATCCTGAATTTACATCTGCTCACATTGAGGGAGTTCAATGCTTATGTTCTACAGGCCCAGGGATTTTAGGGGAAAATTCCACCAGCTCAGTACAAATACTGCCCATTCCTACTGCCAGTTTTTCTTTCCAGCCACCATGTCAATTATAAACCTGCCTCATTACGCATCCAACAGTATCTCTGAGCTCCGACACTGCAGACGAGGCACAATGTGCAACGGCGCACACACACGGCTTGCTTTTACCACACATACCTGTGCTCGGCCTTCACTGTCACCCACTTGCCTCTGAATCCAGCTCCAGCTTGCTTCTTAATGGTTACCCGTGTCCATATGGCAAAGATATTTTTGTTGTCTCTCATTTTTTTATTTACACAGTGATACAGCGTGGAGAACAGAGCCACAAGAATGGAAATCATGTGAATAATGGCTCTCCTTTAGAGATTATCACTGACTCCAGGCAAGAATATTCTCCTTTCTGATCTCAGAAACAGACAGTATGTGCTGCTGCAGATGAAGGGGGCAACTGGGTTTGTATTTTTCAGGAACAAGAGTTGAGAACTGTGTTTATGGTATGAAAAAACATAACGTAGCGCCATTCAAAATTTTAGTCATACAAATGCTTTGACGACAATAACACCTAATAAACTGGATAGACGGGAAGACATAGCAAAGACCCTGGCTGAAGAAGAAGAGAAATACTATATATAACACCCTCTGTACTCAAGGGAAGAATTGATGGAGCACCGAGCGGGTACTTACAGAGCTCATGGGAGTCCTCTGGAAAGACGGTCACTGTCTGAGATCCTTCTCTGCTGAAGATCAGCATGTGTCTGCCCAACGTTCAGGAATTAGCCACATGGAGTCTGCAAGGAATTGGTCTGAGATTTATGGAGCATAGCATCAGGTGTACGGAAGGTATCAGAGCAGAGGAGCACATTCTCACATTCTTTAGTCTACAAGCCTGGTTCTGCCACATAATAGCTGAGTGACCTTGGGCAGGTTGATTTTCCTACCTGTGCCTCAGTATTATTAGCTGGTTAGTGGAAACATTACCTCATAGTACCCTAGTCCATAAGTGCCATAGTAAATGGGGCTTATCTCATTGTGCTGACATAAAAATTAAATAAGTTAATAGTTATGAAGTTCTCAAAACATTGTCTATAAATAGTAATTGTTATAGTAAATACGTTGAATAAAATACATTTGAGAAATGCTTATACCATAGCTCCTTCATTAGTGTCATAATGCATGAGTATATTAAAAGCTCCAACAACACAGCAGCCGTGTGGTAATAAACAACACCAAAACCTCGATAGCTTATAAAAACAAATGTTATTTTTTCACTCATATTAAATGTATGCAAGTTGCACATATTGTTTCTTACACTCACCAGTGACGTGACTTTGGTCAGGTGACTTGTCTGTACATCAGCTTCCTCATCTATAAAATGGGAACAATAAAAATACACATGTACCAGGAGACGGTTGTGCAGAATACGTATTAGCACATGGAACATGCTCAATACATGATCATGACATTGTCAGCACACTAAATGTCACTTTATGATTAAAATTCTATTGTCATCTTATAGATGAGAAACTTCCATCTCAAAAAGAGGTGATTTAAACAAAGGTCACACAGCTAGGAAATGATGGATCATAGACTCACACTAAAATGGGTTTGAATTAAACCCCTCTCCCCTGTTCACATTACATTTACTGGAGAATTCTAATTGTAGAACTACCAACCAAGACGCTATTAGAAATGTGGTCAAACATTTGAAAAGAAACACCTTTGCTCCTTAGTATATTTCAGTGAGACTTACAACTTGCCACATTTAGATGCATACTGAGCATGTGAGAGCATGAGTTTGCCAGAAAAAACAGTGCTAGCCAACACCCGCACAATATTATCTCATTCCCAGGGAGTATGACTGGAGATGGGAGCAGAAGGAAAGGAAACTGTCACTTACTGAATAATGACTAGGTTTCATGCACTATGCTACATACCTTACACTTCACTTAATTCCCGAACAGCACCATTGTAGGATGCTCTCAGTATCTACTTTCTGTCATTAATTTCACTTCACACAAAAATGTAAAGTGAAAAAATGCCATTTCCTAAGAAAGATATCTTAATCAACTGTGGAAAAGAGGTGCCACTCAAGTCATACCACTCGTCACTCCGTGACATTAACATATATTTATATTTTGTATCCCCCATTATCAATCAAAATTTCACAGGTGCTGAGGCATTGTCTTGGTCACCACTTAATTCTCAGTGCCTAGAACAGTGCCTGAACGAATGAATGAATCTGTGAATGCAAAACAGAATGGAGGGAGCTAAGAGGATTTTAAGGAACTTACCCAAACACTCACAGCTTGTAAGTTTTACACTGAAATTTTAACTACAGATTTGAGTCTAAACCCTGTGGGCATCCCATTGTGCCAACTGTTTCTATCTTGCTTCCCACAGTTAATGTCACCATGGTCATGGAGAGCAGCATGATATAATGTTACTTTGAACCATATGGAACTGCCTTTCTGAGCCTCGTGGCATTTAATCTATAATATGAAGTATACAAAGGAGTCGCTCTGCTAATAGAAAGGACATCATGTACAAAAGCATCAGTGAGTTTAAAGGCCCATATGTCAGGAAAGAGCATAGATTATTCTAGAAACTGAACAAAGCCAACGTGGTTGGAAATTAGTGAGTGACAATGAGAGTGTTTGAAGTGACACTGGAAATGCAGGCAAGCTCTAGGTTTTACATGGTCCTGTTGGTTATGTAAAGAAATTCAGGTTTTATTCTAAGTGCAGTAGGAAGCCACTGAAGGTTTTAAGTTAAAGGAGTGACATGGTCTGACCTGAATTTTTGAACAGAGGGGAGAATGAGTCCGGAATGGGCAAAGTGCGCATGCGTGAAAGACAACTGCATACGCCCCACGTGCTGCTGCCTTTGGAGGGTTGTGCAGGACGGGGAAAGAGAGTACTTTGTGTGGCAGTAGAAACATGGTGACGGTGAAGTTGATGACAGATAGCATTCTGGGTCTCTGAATGCCGAATGATATATCTCCCTCCCTCTCTGTCCAGGCCTCTGCCCTCTGCAGCAGCATGAGTGGCTGACCTCACAGAATGGGGCCCTACCCTACCGATGGCAAGCTGATCTGAATGGAACATCCAACTAGACATAATTTCATAAACAAAATACTGCGTGTGTAACAATCATTTAAATATTTTAATTGTTAAGATACATTTTATTTCAGAATACTATTCAATTGCTATGATTTTATTTAATATTTTTCCATGACCATGTGATTCTCCCTCTAATGTTACTTTTTTTACCAGCTCCCCCTTTTCAAGCATTTAAAGTTCCTCATGATCTGTCCCCTGTATCCCTCTCCACTCTCATCCTTATAAGCAACCCCACTCATCCATCTCACACACACACACACTTCGTTCTGAGGCAGAAATATATTCATCACATTCTATGATCTTTTTTTCTATGTTTATATACCTTTGAAACTTTTATTTTTTGGACTGACAAACTCCTATTCAATCTTAAAAACCTCAGTTGCTGTCATCTTCTCCTAAAAGCCATCCCTGGTACTTCCTTAATTGGAGGCACTCATATTTTTCTCTAAATTTTCTCTACCACTTATTCATGAATACATTAATGAATTATTTTACTGAATTTCTATTTATTTATTACCAAAATGACTCTACTGTTGAGGGTTCACTTTGCATTTGTTTTATGTTTCTTTTTTTTTAAAGATTTTTTTATTGGGGAATTGGGGGAAGGGGGACAGACAAGTTGCTGTCGTTTTGTTCTTCAGTCTAGTTGTGGAGGACGTTGCTTCAAGGGCCCAAGTTGTCACCATCATTGCACGCTTCCCGGGTGAGGCCCATCAGTCGCTGGCTTCTGGACGGCCGCTCACTGCAGCTGCTGGCTGCTCAGGCTAGCTGCTGGTTACATACAGTAGCCCATGGCAACCCACTGCAGCAGGGGCTGCAGCCTACGCCATCGCGGGCGACTCAGGACAGCCAAGCTCCAGGTTGAGCTGTTGTTCAGCATCGTAGCTGTAGAGGGCAGTGTCACTGGCCCTCATATGTGGGATCCGAACCGGGGCCCTCTGGCGTCCCAAGCCAGTTCTTAACCATCGCGCCACTCGGCCGGCCCTGTTTTATGTTTCTTGCATGTAGTAGCACTGGGCTTGAGACAGCCATTCAATGAATATGTTCTAAGTTGCATTTTACTCTTTAAATATACATATATTCTGAATAACTACTATACATGTAAAAATAAAATGAATTCAGGTTATGCAGTAAGAATGAAATCAGGGCAATTATTAATGTTATGAATTTGTCAAATACGAGTTGCAAAAAGTATCACAACTTGACCAAACAAAAGGAAGCAAACCATTGATCCTTAGTGAGACTGCAAACACTCTTAAGAAGGTTAATATTTTTTTCTTTGTGGTAATGGAAGTCTATATTTATGACAGACATAATATAGAATAAAGTATACATTAAAGCCAATAAAAAGCATTATTGTTTAAAAAAGTGAACTTGGAAGAAATTTCTCAATATACCATGGTTACCGCCTTCTGTATTGTTTCAATTTAAGCACTTTTAAAATAATGTTCCAACTGAGGGCCTCCACAACAATTTATAAAGGATTTTTGGTCTTTACTCTTTTATTAAGAATGGTGCTGACCTTTGAAATTCAAGGAGCTGGGTGCTGGAGGGAAAGAATCCAGTATTTATAACCTGGGGAGGCCGTGCACCACCAGACGGCCGTCAGCTCTGACAAACGAGATTGTAGTACTTGTGAACATACTGGAAAAGGCTCACAAAAAAACAACTCTATTCATAAACTTGGTAATAACAATGGAATACAACATACCTTCTAGACTCAAGATCCTAGGAATGAGGAAACAGTACTTTGCCATAAAGTAGAGGCTTCAGCGGATATATTTATTATTCTGTTGAATGTTATCATTTCCTCTGCATAGTTCCTCCTCTCTTTCACAAGGCCACTGGAATGTCTAAAAATAACATAAATTAAACTAGTGTTGAAATGAATTAATGACTTCAGAAAAACAATCACAGATCTGACATGATTATGTGACTCCAATGGTGTCGAGATAGTGGTGGGGCAGGATCTTTTGTTTCTCTTGTCCCGTCTATAAACCCTGCACCTAAAACAGTGGGATAAACATGGTAGAATCTCAATATTCATTGGACTAATGAATGATCTATTGAATACCCAACTTAAATGTCAATGGACATAATGTCTGCAGCAGTTTCTTGGTCTCATATGGTCATACCTAGTGAAACACAGGGATTTTCCCCCCGTTGAAGCCACAGTGATAGAACTACCGGCCTGCTCCTTTGCTGAGGACTGGGTCACACATTCAAGCCTCATCAGTGACTGTCAAGGGGTATGAAGTCTATCATAATTTGCCCCTCTATTTGCTCTTATGAGTCGTGTGAAGGTGAACATCCAAACAAATGGAGCTTCTGGAGCGAAGAATTAAGCAGATGGGGCAACCAACTGAGACTGCCAGGCTCCTACTTCTCTGCTCTGAAAATTTTAGACATTTCTTGTGAAGTGAAGAGGTGGCCAATGGTCTTTCTCTCCCACATGGAATACTGGAATATGAACAACTGGGAAGTCTTTACATTTTGGGAAAACTACAACTATTATCTGTGAGAGTGTGGTTCTGACTCAACTTGTAAGGTTGCGCTTTGGAGGTTTCCCTCCCTTTTCCCTGGAAGATTAGAGACGGTGAACGTCAGCATTACTATCCCTTTAAGGAACCCTTCTCAGGCTTCCATTCTAAAGTGTTTCTTCTTATTTATAACTTTAAAAAAATGTGAGTAAAACTGTTCTTAAACATTGAATTTCCTTATATACCCTTGAGAGCTTATCATTATCTTCATCAAGAAGTTATCTCTTGAATTACCAGAGAACCAATTAGGTTGATTCTGAGAGCAATTTATATCTGAATGGTTTCTAAATATGTATCTTATGGAAGAAAAGTGAAAAATATCTATTTGATTAATTTAATTATTAAAGGTGAAACCCCACAAAGGAGAATACTTCCCCTTCGCTACACTGACTCTTCTTTTTCCCTAAAGCTAAATGTTCATATCCAAGAGCTCTCACACGTGAACCCTGCTGTAATATAATGGGATCTTATAAAACTGGGCTACTAAGTATGTCTAGAGACCCAGGGAGGATTCTTTAATCTTTTAACTGGTAGAGCCTCAAGTAAATGCAATAAAGACCTTTTTTAGTATTTGAAAATAATGTGTTCTCATGTCTGCCTTCCTTAAGAGAATTACATAAAGTGTTCTCTCTAGTTTTTAAAATCTGATTTGAATTATGTCACATATAATTTCTGAACAGATGAACTTACAGGCTTTTATCTCTGACACGGGTTCAAATGTTGTTTCTTTAAGATATATATATATATATAATTTTACAATCAGGAATGTACCTTCTATCAAAAATTCAGAAAATCAATGTGCCCTAGTTCACAAATACACCTGTCTACTTTGTGGAAGGGAGAGTCTTACCCAGAGCTTTCACCCTAGAATAAGCTGCCTGGGAGCACATCACATAGTAATCATTTTGAAGTGGGGTTCAGAAAGCATGTTAGCCTCTGTTACTGTGTGACATTGGAAAAGTGGCTTAGCTGCTCTGAGACTTTTGTTTCCTTGTTGTGAAGTTCAGGCAATGGATTAAATGCTCTTTAAGAATCATCATTCCATAAACTCATTCATCTCTATATTTGTGATTTTCCTGATTCTAACTAATTGTATAGGGTTGTAGCCAGGATGTTTTCCAGACATGAGGAAATGCCTATACTCTTTGAGAAGTTTTGTCTCATAAATGTTTTAAAGGTCCAGTTCCATGGTTTGTATCTCAGTGTTTCATTTCCATTTGTGAAAAACAAAGACTAAGCGTCATGACTCTTTTCTTCCTAATTCCCAAACGATCTGTTACTGCCTTTTTGTCTCATTGAACAAATTGCTCTTATGGAAATAAAAAAAAATAATGAATTTAATTGGAGCAAAAGAAGGAAGTTCTATCCTATGCAATACTGTCCTTTTCTTTTGATTTTGTGGTCTAGGACAGAAATAAAACTTTTAGCAGAATAATGATAATAGAGCAGAGGTAGTGCACAGCACCAGTCACTCCAAATTCTCCTGGGGAACTAGATGGAGTCCAAATATAAATAAAAATACACTTTTCTATAAGTAGGCTACTTTCATGTAATAATTCCTAATCTACTTATTATATTCTAATTAAAATATTTATTAAGTGCACTGTGTATGCGATGCCATTACTGTTTCCCTCACTCTGTACACTCAGCCTCTGCCATAAAGCATAAAGTGGTGCTTTCTGCCCCAAATCCTCATGAATACTGGTTCTTGGATACATTCTCTTGTATAAGGTGATGCATTTCATGTGTTTGAAAGAACAAAGATTCCTAAAGGAATAAAGTCAGAGGTAGGAGTCTTTGTAAAGTAATATAGATGGTAGGTAAAAAGCATCATGGAAGACTTGAGTTCTAATTCTTCATACACTGATGCATTTCTCCCAGAAATATGGTTGGTTGGGTAGAGTTGATGAGCGTTGTGGATGGACTATAAATGATAGCAAAAGCCACCATTTTAAAAAAGAAGATAATTTACCACCTCAAGAGGAAGACCCTGATAAAAATGTAACTCCTCAGCTAGAAATCTCATTCAGAAATTTTTACAGCTCTTCCAAAAAGGTTGCAAAGTAAACACAATACTTTAGAGGTGGGATTTTTCAAAAGCTCTGAACATCCTCAGAGTTGGGTGGGTAGGAGGTTGGTACAAGGACTTGTGAGGCTGGATATATACATTTGTTTTAATTTTAGAAATGATAAGAGATCCTAACCCTGTCATTATTTTATGTTCCCAAGGAAATGATGATTTCTTCTGAAACAGAGACAGGTTTTCATTGTGGTCATTGGTTCTTTAGCACCAATGGTACTACTTCAGTGAAAATGACTGTGGCTTCAGTTACACTGTTCCAAGTGTGCATAGATCTAAATGCCACAGCATCTTCTCAATCGCAGGAATGCTGACCCCTAGGAAAATGGAAGCCTCCTTGACTACGGACATGAAGAGATGAGTAGGCTCTGTGCTCTCATCCTGGGATAGTGAGAGGTCTGCAAAGTGGCAGAGAAATCATAACTATCTTGAGCATGGAGCAAGCTGAAAATAGTTGTGATTTGTGTGTTTTAAAAAAATGGAGAATGGGAAGTTTTGGGGTTTTCTTGTTTGTTTTAAATTTTAATTCATGGAATCAGTTGTCTCAAACATGGGCTTTCTCTTGTATAAGATTCCTTTATCTCCTACAACTGTTGGTCAAGTACTGGTGGTCTTTAGTCAAAGAAGTTACTACTGCAGCACTTTGTGCCCTCTTGCTACCTGCTCTGGACCATTCCAGTAGACTCCAACTTGGCTTTCTCATGTCTGGTTTCATGCCCCACCTTAGCCACTTATCCATTGTCCACATTAATGCCAGAGAGGTCATTCAAGAACACAGATTTATTATTTCTCCTCATGGAAAACTGCTTAATAGTGCCAGACTGCCTAGAGTATAATGCCCAAATTCCTTAGACTGGCATAATACGCCTTTCATAATATGGCCTTTGTCTACCTCTTCAAATGTGTAATTCATCCCAGGACCACATATTTACCAAAAACAGCAACTCAGTCTTATTGTCCAGCTATATCAAGATACTGAAGTTTTTGGAAAACATCAGCTTATTTTTGTTTTCCTTTTTTATAAATTCCCACTCCTAGGTTTTAAATTCACCCATAAAGGATGAGTATTTGAAACCATCATTCCCCACCCTCCACCCCAACAAAAGCAGCACCTCAGGCCTATGTGCACACTCTCCCCTGGGCCTCACTGTGTGGCCCCAGGGGTGGCAAGTGTTTCCAGAACTTGTAAGGAATGAACATTTTTGTTGTTGTTTGTTTGTTGTCTTTTAAGTTTCCTGACAATTATTGCTGAGGGCATCTTGCAATCATAATAAAAACCGTAAGGGCAGGTCCAGCCACAACACTGGTTATTGATAAGCTGAGACTGAAACAAAACAGTTTGGTTATGCTAAATTTGTGGATTTTATCCTAAAAATAGAAAATCCAATGTCACAGGATTGTGAACTGCTAGAACGCCAGCCATCCGCACTTTGCTACCAAGCAGAAAAGTCAAACAGGGCAGTGACAAAATGGGTCCCTTCCTACTTACTTAGAGTCCTCTCTAAAGATCTCCTCTCATAGCACAATCCAAAATTTGACTTACATGTGATTGGCTTCCTCAAAGAAAAACAGGCTGGGAAAAATATACATTTAATTATATATTCCTGGTTTTAATACACATATTAACATGGTTATACTCTTTCCCCAAATAAAACTATACATGGTTCTGTTACTAAGAAACACATGATATGGATAAATAAATGCTGCTGGAAGTTTTCAAACTATGAAATATTAATTTCAAAAAACAGAATTTCTCGAAACATGCGTTATTTGTAACACAGTTGGGGAAACGCTAGTCTAGACAATCTCTTTTAGACATTTTTTTCCCCAATGTGACATGTCAGTTACTAACTACCCAAGGGCTGAATTTCAGATCCCCTTGGTTTTGATATTCTATTATTATATTATATCAAAACCTACCTTTTTAGTTCAGATAATCTTTTATGTTCCCATTGACTTTGGGCAAGTATGAAGTATGTTTTCCAGGATGATAATCAGAATTTCTCTTTACAGATATTTTCCAGAAACTTGTAATTTGTCTTCCAAAGGACCAACTCCAAGAAGCACCTGGAATAAAGCAGGGGTCAGCTATATTCTCAGGCTAGATGATAGATTCAGGCACTTCTGCCCATTTTATTGTATAGACATTGTACATCTGCTGTCTGCTATGGCAACCACTGGAGGAAAAATATGTTACATGTTGTATTTCAGTAGAGAGCCAGGCTTTGCAAACAGTGCAAATAAAAACCACCAATCATTTTGTCCCACGATGGAACCTAAAAATCTGTGTTAGGACACTACAATTCTCTATCAGCTGAAGACAAAGCGGTCTGCTTTTTGAGGAAAGAGACATCTGCAAGGTGAAGATGCTGCACTAGAATACAGCCCGCATGCTCTGCAAAGACCCTGACTCTGGAGCCAGACAGCTGCAGGGATCAAATCCCAGCTCAGGCACAGGCTAGATGGAGAATCTCAGGCAGAGAACTTGACCTCTCTGAGCCTGAATGTTCATCTCTGAAAGGGGCAGCAACACATTTTGCAGAATATTGAAGTTGAGAAAAGGTATGTAAAGCACTGAGCATAGTTCTTGGCACATGAGTCTCTCCATAATGTGTTGTCTTCTTTTTCCTTCTCCCCGTCTTCATCCTTTTCCTCATCCTTATATTATTTTCAATAGTAGTGTTAGGCTTTAAATAGCAAGGGTAGTACTTAGTTGCATATATACTTAGTTCTGTTCTCCAAAAGTTTCCAGGTAAAGGCAGTGTTCACTCCTTTTTTTCTAGAAAGCCATTCCACAGTGCAAAAGTAATCCTTATTTTCAGAATATTCATGGCATCAATAAACTTTGTGTCTATTTTAAAATGAAGAAAGTGAGCCAATTTAACTTTTATCCCATGTGATTGCCTACTGTAGTCTATAATTTCCAACATGATCTGGCTCCTGCACAAATTGCTAAATTTATCCAGTATCACTTTTCCCTCTCACTCATTATGTTCCAGCAAAACTGCTTTTATTCCTCTTGTTCAAGCTTCAGTGTCTCTACTCATTCTCATTCTCATTCTCTCTCTCTCCCCCCCCTTCACTCCCTTCCTCCCTTTCCTCTTCTCTTTTTCCTTCCTTCCTTTTCACGCTCTCATTCTCTTTCTCTCCCTCTCCTTTTCTCTGTCCTCCTGAAATGTTCTTTCTCCAAAATTCAACATGGCAGACCTCAACCTCTGTTATCACTTTAGGAATGTCTTTGCTGACCACTTCAGTAAAAGAAGCTGCCCCTAACTACACTGTTCTTTTCATTTCATGTTATAACATTCATAACCACCTACGACTTAAAAATGTATTTATTCACCTATTTATATTTGTCTCTGTTCATGAGTAGGCATGTGATAAGAAGGAGGGGTACTGTCAGTCACAGTACTATGCTCGTGATACCTAGAATAATCCCTGCCACATGGAACCTGCTCAATGCATGAACAAATGAATGAATGCTAAGTAAACCCTTATTAAACATGATGGAAGGGAATCCCAGGCTAGTGTTTACCTTGTGACCCCTCTAGAGTTCTTTTATATGCTGTATCTTTATTTCTCTACGTTCTGTCAAAAGCTGCGAAGTGTCTAATACTTTAGCCTACTTGCAAGGTAATTCTTTATTCTGCTGCAGTTTCATGGGTGCTGGCAGACATAAGGCTCCTAGGTCAAAGACAAAGGACTTTATTTTTCAAGGCATAACAAGCAGCATGAGTATCGTGTTTGCATCAGTGCTCCATACCCTGATTTCCATAGGCCAATGTCCAGATGACATCTCCATACGGAACTTCCTTGAAGTTCATCTTCAAGGAAGCCCGAACTTGGGGAACCCACGTCTCTTATTAGAAGAAACATGTGCACCCTTTGCCCCAGAGAGAAATGCTATCTCCGTCTTCCAAGGCTGTAAGAAAACCTACCCTTTCTCTGAAGAGAGACACTATCTCCATCTGCTAAGATTGTTTCCTACAGAAACATGATTGAAAAAAAAAATCTGTAATAAAGCAACCATTGTCTCTGCTCATAAAATGGACAGAAATGCTAGAATATAACAGTGAATTATCTCCCAATAAGTCCTTCTTTTACTCACACTTCACCCCAATGTCTATTTTGTTCTTCTAGATTATATCTTATATACGACTTGTTCAATCCATTTCTTTGCTCTGAGGGCTCCTGGCTCTCAGGGAGCTTACAATCTAATATCAGTGAGGAAGAAAACCCCGGGTTTCCCAGCTCTAATACCAGTATCCCCTACTCCACCCACTCCCCTGAGCACAGCCTCCTGAAGAGCTGCAGTGCTTCCCTTATTGCTTGGGGGTATCTCCCTAAGGACAGCAGAGAGGAGGTAGTCAAGTAATGCTCTCCAATGAGATTGGAGGGCTGGCTAGCCTCGGAAGCACTTAGAAACATTAAGCCCAGCAGGATAAGTTAAAGCATAATTGCACTGAGAAGAAGTCCCTCTGTGAATCATTATTATTGGTGTTGGTAACAATCAGAATATCCCTAATCAGCATGACTCCAGCACTTTGGAGTTGGAAATGGGCCTGTCACCATTTGGTTTGGAATGCAACGTCTACATTTGTAGGGGCAGGATTAGGGGAGAGCAATTTTTAGTCCAGTGGAAGCCTAGGCACTGATACCTGAGCTGCTGTCAAGTTTCTGAAAATGTTCAGTGTGGTCTTCGGTCTTAGGCATATGGATATATGGGATGATATATAAAGAGATAATTGTCTTGCTTGATTACTGCAATAAGAGACATAAACTTTAGTATTCAAAAAGGAATAGAGGAGGGGATGGGGGCATACTCAATTTGCAAAATGTAATATTAACATATTTTTACCTATGCATGAGTCCTGGCACCAAGGAGAAGTCATTGTGCATTCTGACTGACCTAACATCGGGAGTCCCATGACTTGGAGGACTACAGAGTGTCATCTTCGAGACAGGATTATCTGAAGCCTATAATAACTGCTCATACATGAACATCTCTTCTTCTAGAATCTTGAATCCATCCATTAAATCCTAAATTGTACAGAGAGACATGTGCTCCTTGATGTGTGGCATTTTTGTAACAAGTCATTGCAACATAGGGCTACTCATTAAATAAAAATGTTTTAATATCAGGGTCTTCTTCAGTAATGGTACCTACAGTGAAATTTCTTTTGGGGTTACTGATTTCTAACCTCACTGGAAGGAAGAAATACTATGTATTATAATAATGATAATATCAATAAGGATAGAAATAATATAACACTTTTTAAAATGTTAATTATGCATTTATCATGTACCAGGCACAGTGCTAAGGACTTTACTTATCAAATTTAGGCTCCATAGCAAAAAAAAAAAAAAAAATGAAGTGGCTCTTATTCTTAATTTTCAGGTGAATAATTAGAGGTATAGAAAGGTCAAGTAACTTGTCTCAGCTCACTGATTAGCTGAGCTAGAACATGACCCAGGCTTCCCTGAAACTGCTCTGCTACACCCCGGTTTGGATATTTATTTTGTTGAGCTTGTTTTGAATAAAACCTCACTGTCATCTTCATGCCCAACCAAGACAGGACATTTGGCCCCTACCTCCAACCCCTACTCTTATTTGATCTCCAGAGCAGAAGGGAAATCCGCCTCTTTAAAACCAGAGTCTGGAGGCACCACACTTGACTGAGCCACACTTAACCTTCACTTTCCTCCTCTTCTGAAATGCAGACCTATTTAAGCTAGGTGAGAAATCAAATGCTAACCTCATCTACCAGGCCTCAATGCTAAAATGTAATCATCAGGGTTTAAATTTAGAAGTGTTTCAATAAAATCCTGCACATATATTTACCAGAGATTGAGTCTCATCTTGTCATCCTTTGGACGAAACCTGTGCTTTGAACCCATAAAAAATAGACACCCAAAATACAATGCAAATTCATATATGGAAGAATTGCTGTCTTTCTTCATATAAAGATGCAAATTATACTTTTCTCTTGAACACAAGGTTAGCTAATTTTTTTTTTCATTTGTTAATGCCTCTATAAATACTGACTGTTCATGATGGTATATTTCTTAAGGGTAAAAACAAACAAACTAGAAACATTTTAATGTACTCCCTGTTTTAAAACTTATTCTCCTAGCTGAGGCTATGTGTGGGGGGGGAAACATGCCAAAAAACACAAGCTTCCAAATGAGAGAAAAGATCATGTATGATGGGGATTTGGAGCTGTTTACTTACATAATGGAGAGCAAAACTTAAACATCCTTCAACATGAGGGATTAAGAGAGGATTCACTTAACAACAGGGGTATAAGAATTACGTTATTGGAGTTCCAACGTCTATAGACAGAGAGTTAGACAAAGAACTGTGGATCCCATCAATGTGACACTAACACACTTAAACATATGCTCCCTAGGGTATTTAAAATGAAGTCTGTCTGAAACCAACAAACAAAAAACGTGGCTGTAAGTCTCCACACGGATGATACCAAAAAAATGATCTGGTATTTACAGCAGGCAACAGAGAGTCTTTCATACTCAACCATGTCTGCTCAGTTGACTGACAGCCTCTGCTTTTCAATCACTTGTTACTGAGTTTACAGTAAATCTAAAAGCACATTTTTTGGAGCAACACCTAACATTCTGAACTAGGTGTCTTATTTCTGAAAAGAAGTGTTACTCCTGGATGACTATGTAATTAGGACAACGGAGAAAGTGAGTATGAGCTTCTAGCACTGCTGCCACGTCCTCCTCAACTTCCAAGAGAAGTGAATGAAATCTCAGCAATTCTTCCTGGGTGATAATTATAATAACAAATCTGGCTCTGAAAACCTAGAGCCAGACTTCTGGGGTTTTAAGTGAATGCTAGTGTCCCTGATTCATTTCTTCTGTATCCAGGGTTCTAAATTAAATTCTTTCTTTTTTTCCTTTTTGTTACTGTTTTATAATTTTTTTTTTTTTTACAAAAGATGTACATGTCCACTAAAGAAAATTCAATCATACTATATGGAAAGGATTAAATAAAAAGGTGTTTCAGGTT